CAAATGGATTTAACTCATTAACAATCAATGTACAAACGACGAAAACATGAAATTCGTAATGTACAAACGATTTCCTTCGGAAAACACCCCTAATTTGGTTTTATTGATCAATTTTTAATTTGTTGTCGGCTAAGATCATGCCGAAATTTAATTAATTTTTTTAAATTAATCCGTTGATGTACAAACAAAAATTTTATAGGTACAATCATGTACTAACGATGTACAATCGAGTACATAATTGCGTTTTTCGAATTACTGACTTTTGTCGGGTAAGTACCCGGGGGTAGTTTATCCCCACCGTGTAGACTTGCGAGCGGTGTAGCGCTGTGATAGTACGAACGACGCTCCCTCCAATTGATGGTTTATCAGATGTCGTGGTCTTCAATTTTAGGTTTTTTTATTGAGGTAGAGAATAACAAAATGAAGTATATATATAACCACATACAACACAGGAGCCATAGCAGCTGTCGTTTGGGGGGCGACATACGAATGGGCGATGATGTAGAAACAATTGCCTATCGAATTGACTATTTATTTAACCCATTGGGCAATTTTTCATTTTATTCCGGTTAGCATCATGGCAAAAATGGAATAATTATATTTATCATTAATGAGTGAATGTACAAACAAAAAACATCTAATACAATCATGTACTAACGATATGTACAATCGAATGTATGAGTTAGTTTCCCTAGTCATTGTACCCTTTCTGCTAAGTACACGGGCGTCAGTTTACGCTTGGGCTTTACCTGCTTACGAATTTACGAAATTGGGTGTGTGATAACCTTGAATAGTGCCATCTATTGGTTATCAACCTCAGGACGTCACAGCTTCGCGCATAGGGTCGTTAATTTTTTTGCGGATATTTCTTATAATGATTGTACCACGGACATCATGATGTTCAGTATTAACAATTGACAGTCCTAGTAAACACCTAACCCCGTTACAAATCTATGAATACAAAACTTTGTGTCGATATCATATGCATTTTATCATCGTTGATTGTTTGTGTTTTCTTCTGCTTTTGCAATATAGGTCAATGAAAATAAATGGATCCCTTCCTCACAGACGGTAAATCTAAGTCGATACTATATTTATTTTAGTAACTTTTTCATAATTTATATTGTCTGGAACATATTTATGTTATTTTATTAAATTTATCAACACTTAATATTGAACGATTGACACTGGTCACTAACCTTGCAAACTGGAGTACATTCTACAGGTGAAACCCATGTTTTTTCATCCATCGCAAATGTTATTGTTGAATGCGATCATTTCCTTCATGCGATTGTACAATTCGCCACATTGACAAGTTTGCGTGCATGATATTAATTTTGAAAAAAATTTAGGTTATTCTCGACTTCTGAAGTTTTCAAAATGATCTGTATATGCATGCCATGTATTTTTGTCAGTACTTTTATAAAATACATTTTATCTGTTATATTTTTTTATAGCATCTCAGAGTGATCGGTTCATTAATTAGTATTGGTGTCAAATAATAGAGGTTATGTATTCTTATTACTGTGCAGTACCCATCGATGTTATATAAGGTGGTCGTGTAATTATTTAGCAATGTGGAAACGGTGATGAACTAATTATGGAAATGTTGCTAATGGTACTTAATATTTCAGAAGAATGAACCATGGTTTTTCATCGTTCTACGTAGGGAAATATCACTGAACTCAAACAGAATGGGAAATCGAAATAACTATTTAATAAAGATTGACTATTTGGAGTTGAGCTTCTTTTTTGATTTTCAAAATGCAATGAGAGTTTAAAAAAATGTTTGAATCACCGAAAAGTCTTGAAGAGGTCTGCATTGACTTCATCTGTGAGAATGTCCTTGCTCTGTGTGAACTGCAGCCTGGTGATTCTGGCGGCATAAGTGTGAGCTCTACAGATGTGGCTATTGGTATGTGAGTGCATATTCTTTTGTTGAGGTATAAATTATAATAGCTTTGGTTAGAGATCTTTGTTGATTTTAGGCTTAGGAATGACTTTACAATAGAATAATATGAGCCCCCTAATTTCTGCCAAGAGTAAAAATCGATAATGCCCGACATAACTGTTCATGGTTCATTATTCCAACGCAGAATTGATATGTCAATTGTCGTGGATTTATCAGTCGCCGTTTTTTTGCCCGTTGTATGAAAAAAATTGCCTTCAAATTTTTGGAGTTTAGTTTTTTGCCGATAAATGTAATCTAAAAGAAGAAAAAAATAATTACAACTGAAGCTCTGACCGATTGGAAATAGTTATTTCATCCCAGAATGAATTATTAGTATATTACGCAGCAAGTGCGTAATGGATTTCTTGGCTTGTGGGAGGGTTATAACACGAGCCGAAGGCGAGTTTTACAATCCCACGAGTCCAAAAATCCATAGCGCACGCGTTTCGTACACTATTTTATGTCATTGGGCCCGTAATTCGCAATTCTACCGAGCGAAACGAGGTTAGAATCGCACGATTACGGGCACCTATGACATAAACATCCATTTTCGAATGAGAAAATCCCAAGAATAAAAAAAACTAAACCCATATTTATATTGTCTGAAATTTTCTCGATGTATCACAAAATAGAAGGCGGACTTTAACTTTAAAACGAGCTTTAAAATGAATAAAAAATCGCTCAAAAGTGCTCTGATTTGATGTTTTCGCCGTGATGTCCTCTACAGCCGCTGCCCATTCCTTTGATGAAGATTAAAAAGACTAATTTTCAAAGACTAAAATATGTTTTCCAAATACTTTACCAGTAGAAACTGTCTAAACTACTACTGCTTCTGCAAAAAACGAAAACGAGTTTTTTCTACAGAAAAGTTTCAGATGGCAGTTTTGCATTTTTTTAACAGTTTCATTTCAATCATAGTCATTTTAAAACGATTGGAAAATCTTTGCCAATGTCAATATTATTCAACCGTTATGGACGGCCGTTCATTTGTTCTCGGAATTATAGTCTTAGGGAGAGGTTATTATTTTTTTTTTGGCAGCGTTCAGTCTATTTTTCACCAATGTTCTCATTATATAGTAGAATTAGCGCCGCGGAGCGGCCGGGACGTTGATAAAGTATGATACGAGCAGATATTGTCAAGCCAAAAACAGGGGACAAGTTCTCTCAGGCGGCACGAGACAGCGCGGCGGTCACTATCACCTTCCCCCACTGATCTCTATATAATAATAGAGATCAGTGCCTTCCCCTCATCTCCATGCCATCGCCACTCTGCAGCTGTTCGGCACTGGTGGGACTATTCAAAAAATGATAATTTAAAATAGCAGGAAGAAATGTAAAATATATTTTTAAAAATTTCAACTTCCCGGGTAAAAAAAAATTGTAATCGGAATATTTTTTTCAAATTTTCGAAAAATGTCTGGAAAACTTTTCAGAAAATTGTCCTTTTGAAACAAAAAAAAATCGGGAAACAAAACAACTGTATTTTTGGGAAATATTTTGAAAAAATTTTCAAAAATTTGTGTCGGAAATTTTTTAAAGGAATTTTCTTGAAATTTTTGGGAATATTATTTTTTCCTTTTAATAATACTGTTGTTTTCTTACTTTTTCCATTTTTCAATAGTCTCAAAAAATACGCCATCTAAATTATAAAAAAAATTTTTCCCATTCAAATTTTAAAAAATTTTACAACAACCGATCTATCTCCATTGAATGCACCCCACAGCACCCCAAAATTGACATTTCAAAAATTTTTTGAAAATTTTTTCAGAAAAATCCATTTTCTTTTCGGCGAAAAATGAAATTCTCTTTTTTTTCTTACGGATAGAGAGGTGGGAATTTTTACTATTGGGAAATTGCACCTTTTTTTTTAGGTCAATTGGAAAGAAAAAAAAATCAAACGACTCGACTGGGATTCAAATGTAAACGCCAGAAAGCGCTGAATGGTGGGGACGAAACGCGCATGAGGAGAAGGCGTTATACAGCGCTACGTACGGCGTCTGAAGGTACTTGTCCCCTGTTTTGGGGTCGGTGACATCAAAGCGTGGCAATACCTCCCTGTATCATACCTTAGACGTCGATGCCTTTTTATAGCGCCACTATGCGGTGACTGTTCCAATTATTTTCGATTATTTTCGAGTTCGACTTTCTTCAATTCGATATTCTCGCAGACGCCATTTTGATTTTGCATGCATTCCGTTATACATAAGGATAGCGCCGCCGCGGCCGCAAGCGGCCGCGACGTTGCTGACATTCTCATCACATGTCAGATCAGAGGTCCCGTTCGATTATCGAATTGACTAAAAAATGATCGATTATCCCCATGAGATCCGCCATGTGCGATTAATGGAGCGTTCTTTTTGTAATCTTTCATGATAAAATTTCACGTAACGTTATATATAAAAAATAGATAGCGATTTTGATTGAATCGGGGACAAAAAAACGGAAATTAAAAAAAAAATTTAAGCGGTTAATATTTACGGTCCCTGGTATCGTCGATACCAAATCCAAAAATCTCGAAAAGATGAATAGTCATCTAATGATGTGTACAATATGGGGAAAAAAGACGATACAATTGAAAGGGGTAAGGTTTCCCTCCTCTACGGAAGAAGGGACAAATATAAACAGGCCTTTGGGGACCAAATAAAAAACAACGAATGTTAGGCGCCATGACATTTTTAATATACCGGCAAAAATCCAAAAATTAACAAACACTAATAAGGACAGCTGCCGAACAATCACTATACTAACTGCGGAGACGGATTCCAAATATTATCTTAAGAATATTCTGAAATGGTTGGGTAAATCTATTTTAAATGAATCCAAATTTTGCAGGGTAAATAAATATTTAATAGTATTTCAAAATAACAAAAAAAATGCAATCATCTTAAATCCTCCACTTACGCTGTAAGTTACAGATCACGTTGTTCTCGTTAACAATTCTCAATAAATTAATTGAACGGAATCACAAATAAATATTTTTAATTAACAAATTCCCTAACCACTTCCCAGATTATAAGATACTGGTGAGAATAACAATCTTAAAATTACTCAAAAGTATTCAAGTTAAAATGAATATGGAAGATGAATCTGCAGGTACTGTGAGAAACAAGCGCAACCGCTAGTATAACAATAAAAACTGAGTTTGCGATTGAGAGGGGAAGCCTCGAGAGATCGTAAACAAATGCATACAGTAGCCGAAAGGATTACCAGCAAAACACAGACTCGAGCGTCGACAGGCGCTACAAATCCACTCTCAATGCTGTAAATTTAAAAGAGAATATATTATAAAACTTATGAAAATTGAGTGACTACACAGCGCACGACAATAGTAAATTGAAACCTCGAGGACAATAACACTGGAATCCCTGAAAAAACATCCCCGGAAAAAATATCCCGGAAAAAATATCCCCGGAAAAAATATCCCCGGAAAAAATATCCCGGAAAAAAAATCCCCGGAAAAAATATCCCTGGAAAAAATATCCCCGCAAAAGTTATTCCCCGTTAAGGATTCCGCAGAATTTATTAAATTGACTGTTGAAACAGTCGAGGAGCAAGTTTGAAATTGCCGTCAACATACCATTCAGTAGCAATCCCCAACAATTCTAACATCCGGTCAGTTGCAAAGATCAGCATCCGGGCTTCGTTGTCCTTGTTATCGACCAGGAGAAACCGTTGTGGATTCGCATCCCCAGTCATCGTCCAATCGCCTGCAAAAAATGGAAAAATATCAATTTAAATTCTAAGTTAATTTGAAAAACAAATCAAAATTAATATATAAACAATTGTACAAACTTACCTTCAATCACCAGATCCTCAAGCCTCATCGGCATAGGCAGCACGTATAAATCACGCTGGTGATTGCGAATCGTTCGCTTCGCCGACTCCTCTTGAGGTAATCTGGCTCGTGTGGGCGATGCCAAGGATAGAGCGGCTTGGGAAAAAATTTGGCTCGGCCTCGCTGAGGATGTCTCGGCCCGTTGCTTCATGGCATCATAGCCACGAGTCATATTCACTCTCGCAATATCTCCTGAATGATTATGTTCAGGAAGAATATTATCGAGAGGAGTAATGCCTTCTGTCTTCAGAATGGCGGGCCACTGAAATAAATACATAAATAAAATGCACAGAAAATACACAATAAATTAATTGATAAAATTAATTTCATTACTATTTAAATTCATCAATTGCACTTATCATAAATGGACGACTGGCCCTATCACACCTCCCCCGCGCGCCCCCACCACCAGGGCTTCGCCCCTGGACCCCACGGGGGCTCCGCCCCTCCACCCCGCCAGGGGCGGCGCCCCTGAACCCCCCTCTGCACCCCCCTCTCTGGCAGCATATGTACATAAAAAAAAGGGCGACAGAAATGATATGGATGATTCGGGGAATATTTTTTCCGGGGATATTTTTTCCGGGATATTTTTTCCGGCAACCATAACACTGACCTCGGAATTCCGAGTGTCTTGAACACAAAAGAAATTTGATAATGGTCCGATAATTGGGGGTAGGTAGAAGAAATATACTAGGAAAAAATAGGATAAATGTGTGGTTTAGGTCCACCAAAAACAAAAATCATTGAAATATTAATTTCTCTGACGAAAAATCCATTCTTATCCTCTCAGTTCCTATAAACATGACGAAAGTAGAGAGTGAGAAACAACAAGGAGGGAAATACATCAAAAAATAATTCTGAGATAAACTCTGTTGTCCTTGAAATCCCTTAAAGCCCCTCTTCTCTTTGCTGTCGCTGTTGACGCGATGAGTGAGTGATATTAAATTCAATATTTTCATTTGCTACAGAAGGGTAGCGGCGGATAAGTGACTCGTGTTCAGTCAGCGATGGTAGATGGTCGGGAGAGGTGAATTCAGAGTCTAGTGAAGTATTCAGGACTATCTGATCAAATCTAATTTTCTGTGTGTTCATTGTCTATAAATGTGCCAAGATGTGGTGTCTTTGGAGC